ACAACAATAACATTAATAAGACTAATAGTATTAATACAAAGGTTTCATTCAATGATGACATTGTTAATAATAATAATAATAATAATAATAATACCGATAAATCTTATAATGGATCTAATAATAATCCGATAAGTGTATCAGATGCAGCATTAATTTCTGACGCATTTCGTAAGGTATTACGTAAACCTAACTGGAAACATGGTGATAATGATATTGACGAGGAAGATTTTGACGCGAATTTATCGGAAGAAGATCTTGCTCGTAGAAGAGAAGCTAAAGAATTGATGAAAAAAGAATTGGCTGAAGAAGGAACCGGAATACACAGTGTTTCAAGAAGACAGACAACAATTGAACATAGCAGCATTCGTGAATGGAAAGATGATAGTGATAATGTTGATAATATTGAGGGGAGAAAGAGTAGTAGTAGCGATGTAGGTGGTATGATTAGTGGTGATAGTAGAATAATAAATATAAATCCTGATAATAATAAATTATAAAAATAAACAAAAAAATTTTTTTTATCTGTACTATATTATTATTTATTATATATTGAATCACTAATATTTAGAATACTTATTTATTGTATATAATAATATATATAAAATTTTTTTTTACTCTATTGCTTTCAGTTTATTTGAACTCGTTAAATTTAATAATTAATTGCTAGTTTCTCTCCTACCTCGCCAATAACAATTCGTCCGTTCGTTCGCATGTTTGCCATTTCATTATTAGCTTGTGAAAATATTTGTAAAAATGTATCAATATCCTTTTTTACCAGGTGTTCATGGAGTGTGTTACATTAGAAAATGCGCACATTTTGTTAACCACCAAAAAAAATTTTTTTTTGACATGCATTTTGTTCTCAATTTGTTTTTTATCAGATTTGCTTGCGAAATATTCTCCCAACATGTGCATTGGGAAAAGTGTTATTTTAACAATAATTGTTAAATTTGGATAATCAAAATGAAATTTTCGTTTATATCCAAAATGCGTTCTCACAATCGAATAAAATAACATTTGTGTATTTTATAGTGATGCAGATAGAATTTTAAAGAGTTCCACCCTTCATCACTCACCAATTTAGTATCTCCATAAAATTTATCTAAAAATTCCATCTCATACAGATTTAAAAATTATTCCATGTCTGTTTATTTTTAGTTGTCAATAAAAATAATAAAAATAGAATTATTTTTGATAATAATAAATCAAATGTAATATTTTCCTTGAAATGTATTTCACGTTAGTATTTTCTAAATTTGTACTAGTTACACGATCACTGATCGGCAGTCGTATACTTAAAATTTGATACAATTGTTGTTGCACGATGATGAAAATAAATAAATGAAAATATTTTAATTATCCTTTTCGTGACCTCCTTTAGCAAACAAAACTATAAATAAAATAACAGGCCATACTTTCTCACGTTCCTTATTTAAAAATAAATTACGATGTTAATAATTAATCATCTTTCACGTAAAATTACAGGAAGCAACCACATGTTTGTTTAAAGTATTTCACGAAGAATAGGTAGAATAAATGGTATATGTAGATAGTTATCTTGTTATTGACTTCTACTATGGTGCAGGTCATCTAAAGACATCAGAAAAATTGTACAACTTCAAACTACTATGGCTTTTTTTATTATTAATAAATTGAAAAAAGCTTATTTTTTTCAATCTTTAAAATTTTATTAATTAAAAAAAAAAGCCTTGGCGGTTTGAAGTTGCACGATTTTACTATTACTATCAAAAATATAGGATGTTCCTTCCTATTTAGTAAAAGATCTCCTAAACACGTGACCAGAACAAATTATTCATCATATTTTTTTGTAACCAACAAACAAACAATACATTACTAACAAATTTACATTTTTCCAATTAAAAAAGACCAAGGCAAAATAAGCAAACTCCACATTTAAAACAAATCAGATAACGAATTGAATAAAAATTTAGAATATGCATCAAGTGAAGAAAACTCAAAGAAATTGATTATATGAAATTATTTTGGAATTATTCATTTTATTTGTTTATTCAAATTATTCATTTTACTTGAATTATTCATTTATTTGTTTATTAGAATTATCTGTTCATTCAATTATTTTTTTAATTTGTTTATCTAAATTATTCATTGAATTATGTATTTGTTTTATTCATTTATTCAAGTAAAAATTTATTTGGATATACTTTTCATAATGATTGAGTCATGTGATTTTATAAGCCTGTAACACCATAGAATATCATTGCTATTTTGGGGCTTGAAGATTTGGCGGTGCAATTGCAGCGCACTATACCTCAACTCGTCTAGTTGATAGTTTTCAAAAAATACCCATGCAGTGCAGTGCAGAATATGAGGGGTGCATTTACCTCTATCGGGATGAAGAAGTAAAATTCCACATATAATGAATAATCACGCCATAAATGATACATAATTTATAAAAAGTGATGTTCATTCTAATAATAGTAATCAGTGTTGTACAAAATGTCTACGTAACAGCTCATTTATGTGAATGCCTCGGACAGTTGGGACTAGTAGTATAAGCCACAAGTTAACATCAACATATTATTATTAGAACCTTCTGTAAAGCATGTGTTGAAAAATCAGGAGAGGAAGAGGGAATAATTCAACATCTAAAGAAATGTATTAACGGAACAAAAAATAATTAATTTTAAAAGAAAAGATTATAAAAATTATTATAAATAATAATTCTATATCAATAATTCAGAGAGTAGAAGCAAGAAAGTTAATATAAAATTATTTTTTTTACAAATAATTCGTTTGTAGTTTAATAAACCACTTTTATGGTTGGAGATCAAACAGTAAGGTTTAATTGTCCGTTTGGTTATCAGAGTGGCATAGAACTCTGAAGTTTTGGTTATTTGCTTTGGTATAAAGCAAAGGTTTTGTTTGTGTATTTGCTTTAGTAAAGAAAGCAAAAGTTTTATTTTTGGTTTTGTTATATATAGCATAAATGCTTTTGTTTAATTTATGTAAACGGGATTAGTTGTTTAAGTGTAATAGTAAGGTGTTAAGACTGATCGGCGTTAACAGTTATTACTGATTGACCACCCATACAAAGAGCTAACGGTTATTGAACAAAGTTGTTCGTTATCACATATTGGTTGTTTTATTGTATTGTGTTAAAGTGATTGTTGCAAACGTACGGCCGACTTCCATCGGCAAATAAAAATGGAACTCTACAGGAGCCTTTGTTGCTTCTTCGTAGAAGGGTCGTTTTTACTTATTGTAATCGTTGTTAATTGTACCATAAAGTGCACTTGCAGATTTTTCAAAGCTTTCTAGATACAAGAAAGAGGAAGTAAGCAGGATAAATTCATAAAATAAAATAATTGCAACTAATCAACGAACGTAGCTAAAAAGTTGACTCGAAACTCGGCCATAAACTTAAAATAATCGAGGTTGGCCAAAAAGCTACCTCACAACACTGATATTAAAAATGGTAATAATAATAGCAATATATAAAAATTCATCCATTCTTTTACAACTACTACTAGCATGGGTTAATATATATATTTAGAGTAGATAACAGGACACTTTTTTGTATTTTTTTGTGATTATTCTATTAAGTGGAGTCGTAAATCAACTGCATGAGTCAAGCTCATAAAAAAAATCATAGAATTTATGAAAACAATAATAATAATGATTATCAACAACAACACTCAATTCGTTAATTTCATCAAATGAATCAAGAAAGGCGGTTATTGAAGATTTGATTAAAAGTGAATAATTTGTTACCATTTTTCAATTCAAAAAATACTTGATTGTTCGAGGAGTGTATTAAATACTCTGTTTTAGTGTCAGTTGATTATTTAACTCATGTTAATTTAAAATTCCTTTGTCATTCATTTCCTTGGATCCTTGTCTCTAAATCACCTTTATGAAGTTTTAAAATCATTAATGCCACATCTCTTGTGTACATTTAATTGGAAAAAATTTTCAGATTTTAAGAATGTTAACATTTGAGATTTAATGAAATTCTTATACCAATAAAAAGTGCCATTTACAGTACAAACTCGTTGGAACATTTGGTTCAAGATGGTTTTTTATACCAATGAGCACATTACATATTAGAAGGACTTTTTCAATGAAGAATTGTCTTTAAATCCTAGACATGAAGTACTTATTTAAATTACTTCTCTGCTTAATTCACAATATCGCCATGGACTTAATATAATATATATATATATATATTATTACAAACTCTGCTAAACAATTTGTGGTTACCTTATGTTGAATTTAGACTTTCAAACTTGTCAGTTTATATTAACAATAGTACATCATCTGATTTTTTTGGTAGGGGGGTCAGAAGAAAGGGATTACATCATTCGGATGATTTGTCAGGAACTCTTTGAAGTTGCATATAAAAAATTTTTTGGTCATATTTCAAATCATCCTGGATGAGAACTTTTTAGGACATGTCAAAGATTTCACCCTTCCTTTTCTTACAATAAATACATTAAGAAAAGATATTTGCTACTATAATGTAATAACAGAATTACAAAATCCAAACAATGAATTGATTATAGAACGGAGAATTTATTGCGAGCTTGAATACAATCCATCCTCTGGTGATCCTGATTTAAATCAATATTGACATTGGTTTAGGTATGTCACAACAATTGCCACTAATTTCAAGAATTGCATTGAATTACATTTGGCTTCTCATCTCAAGTTTGTAATTCTCTTTTGGATAGTGATTGCCAGAACTTATCAATAGATAATTAAATACAAATATATTATGCATAATTGATATTTTTTGGTGCATAATTTACTTTATTGCATGCATAATTGATAGCATAAAATCATCATCCCTAAATCCCTACACCGTACCATTTATTTGTTTGATTTTACATTCTACCTAAACTTCAAAACTCCTGCGTCCCGTCATTTTCATTCATCGATTTTCATATATTCATTTATTAATTAATTATATGCAATCAATAATTATAAGCAGTCGTTCATTTATATAATTATTTCATAATTTACCATAAACCAACACTATATTAACTATCCAATCTATTGGTTTTTGTTTAAAACAATGAATAATTAATAATAATTAATAATTATTCTTTTTTCTAATTTTAGTTTAAGTTATAAATAAAAAATTTTGTTGTTAATCTATTGCTCATTTTCATCTTGCATCAAAGGATCGCCGTTTGCTTCAATTGTAATTGAGGAAGAAGGTATTGGAGAATTGGGCATCGAAGATGAAGCAGGCATATTATTAGTATTAGCGGTATTAGCAGTATTAGCGATATTAGTGTTAACGGGATCAACATTGTTATTACCATTACTATTACCGCTAGTGCCATTGCTATCATTACTAATATTGTTATTAGTATCTAAAGAATTAATATTACTAGGATTTAAAATCATGTTGTTGTCAATGTTATTATTAGTGGGTTCATTGAAAAGATTATTTATAAAAGGTGATGGCTGCTGTTGCTCTGGTAAAAATAAAGACAAAGTAGTGGGAACGGTGGTAGTGGATAATTGATCTGTGAATGGAGAGGCTGTTGGAAGTGTTACGTGCGGTAATGGTTGTGCAGATGACTGTGGTTGAAATAATCGTTGTAAATGTTGTAAGTGTTGTAATTGTAGTAGTTGCTGCTGCTGCTGCATTAGTTGTAGATTGGGTTGGTTTGACGGCGCCTGAAGTAATTGTGATTGTAATACTTGTGATGGATTTAATTGTGTCTGGTTTAGGTTTAATTGCGATGGATCATATTCCATCATATTGTTGATATTATTAACCGAAGAAGACTCATTATTATTGGCTTTCATTTGTAAATAATAATAATTATTATTATTATCATCCCCTTTTTGAATAAAGTCATTTGTACTATCATTATTACTATTAATGACTTGATTTGAATGTTTTTGCTCTGTTGTCTCATTTTGATAAACAGTGATGGCTTTTAATTGTTCTATTAATTCTTTCGATTCGTCTATTTTACATCGAATATCTGTCAAATTCTTATTGTCCAATCTTAATTTCGTCTCTTCTTGTGAAATAATTTCTTTCATTTGAATGATAAAATTTGTTCTATTATTAATTTGTTTTTTAATATGACTTTCATGTTCATTCAATATTCTTTGAAGATGATCAAGATGTATAGAAAGAATAGATGGTCTAGGTTTCTCTGTTCAAAAAGAGGATATATTAGTAGATAAAGATAATTATCAATATTAAAGATCATAATATTTTATAAACATAAATCAGTAATCGGTAATCGGTAATCATCAACCCTTAACCGTCATTAAAACAATACCTTCAACCTCCATAACTTCTGTCCAAAACTTAGAAACCTTATTACTGGACTCATGTATAACTAATTCTAAATCAACTATTGATTTGGTAGTTGTTGCTAATTTGATCTACATAAATAAAATAGAATAGGATTTTCAATTTAGCTATTATTTAAAACATTCACATCTTATCAGGGGAAAAACCCTTACAAATTCTGGTCGATTAAAATTTGGTGGCAAATCATTGCTTTGATCTGGTTGTACTTCTTTGGTTTTTGTAATTGATTTTTGTCCTAAAAATTAACAATATGTTAATCGTCATCACCACTCAAACGCTTTCAAGAATCCTCCAAATATAGATGAATCGAGTCACCTGTCAAATTTTCCCTTAATTGATCTATAAAATCATGGTCAAATACTTCTCGCTCATCCCATATATTAATAACTCTTGTTATTGAGTTTTGAACATGAGGTACTGCATGACGATATGCATGTTCGATGGCTTCTGGAAGGACTTTTTTAAACGCTTGAATAAATTCAGGTCCTTTTCTACGACTATTTTGACAAACATCATTACAAAGATAAATAAACGAAAGTTTTCGAGCCGATGATGCTTTGTTTTGCAATATATATATATATATATATATATATAGATCGATAGTTTTACGAATTGTAAATTAAACAGAAGAAAATAGTTTGTTTAATTTAAATTTTATATATTCATATAGCAATAAAATATATCTTTATCAACCATCACTACTATTGGTGCTATTACCACCACCACCACCACCACATACCTTTACGAAGTTCACGATGCCAAATGTCTACACTAGTTGCAACATGTCGACGATGATACATAAACCCTTTATACATACATTCATACATGCATTAAAGTCAATATTAAATATAATAATCGTTAAAAAATTTTTATTAACAAAAGAATTCATTCTTTACTAACATTGAGATAATAGCGAAATAGACTCTTGTGTGTCTACAAGCTTGTTAAGTTTTACAATTAAAACATCCTCACTATATGCTGACATTTTATTATCTGTTATTATTTTACCTTGAAAAATTTATTAATTCGTGATAAGCATGATGAAATTTCTTTTTATCACAATGTGACAATCTTGACGATCTTGAAATTATGCTAATTTTGTAATGTAAAAAAAAACATGGTTTCTACTTTCATCAGACAGTCGTCAATATCTACAGACTTTATTAAAAGCGAAGCAAATTAAACAATAAACCTTACTGTTAGGCGTAGATTTGTTTAAACTTCTGCCATCCAGTCGTCAATCCCCGTAAAATAAATTCATTATTAATTAAGAGATTAATTTTTAATATTAAAACTTTGTGAGAAATTTTAAATGTAAGCGTTTATTAAAAAAATTTAATCTGATTGATTTAGGTTTATGACAGAATTTTATATATGGTGATCCTCTACTCTATTACAAAACTATTACTCGGTCTTTTATTTAGCGGTTTAAAAGACTGGGTCAGCCCGACCATTCTTATTATTATACATACTCTGATGGTCCAGAACTGAGTATTTTTTGCGAATAAATAAAACAAAAAAAAATTTTTAATTTAGAATTTTTTTTATAGATCATCGGAACTTTTTCAAAATGGCACATTTTATTATAATTATATGCGGTATTTATTTCATTACAATAAAATTGTAAAACGAAAACACTCGGTTCATAGATGTATATAATATGGTATTTTAATTTATTGAATTTTATTCATTTTAAAGATTTATCAAATAGTATTTTTTCATTTAAAGACATCAAAAAAAATTTTATCGAGCTTTAAAATTCCCGAAATCCATATATGGAAATTGGAAAACAACTCCATATACGTAACCTAAGCAGCCCTACACAAAGTTTATATATTTAAAATGCACTTAAATATACACCATATACTTACAATATTTACTGATGGAAGAGAACAAGAACATTTTAAGTGAATTTTAAGTAAGTTTTAAGTATATAACATACTTTTGATGGTAAACTAGCATACTTAAAATATACTTAAAAGGTTACTTAAAACATACTTAATTTTGTTCATTATTAAAAAAGGTATGTTTTAAGCACATTTTAAGCACCTTCAAGTAGATTTTAAGCATGTTTTAAATACATTTTAAGCATCTAAACTTTTTGTAGGGCAGGAGATTTTTTGATTTAACAAGATGCAGTCAACCAATAAAAAACAATCAAGGGCGAATCATACGATCATGTCGATTATCTGATGGATGATTCTTCGGACTCTCGTTCTTCGTGCGGCGTAAAACGAATATTTGAGTCAAGTTGGTATATCACTTTTTTACTAATATCATAATCACTCACTCATTACCTTCCAAATCAAGGAATTTCAAGTTAGAACACAAACACGCGATTTCATTGATAGTTATATCAGGAATGTCACTTCCACCAATATCAAGGTGTTTGGGCAATTCCCTATAAAAAATAACATATGGAATTTCCGTGTCTAAAAAAAATAAATACGGAATTAACGTACTTATTATACGGATTGAAAAATTTGCCCTTTTTAAAATTTAACACAAGGTACGGAATAGGCGCGGGATAGTCACAGAATGCGTGACATACTGAAAGGGTACATTTTTTGCTAGAGGTTGGAATCGTCTAAAAAATCCTTAGTCGACTACTAGTTGATCAAAAATTTCTTGAGTCGACTAATTAGTTGACTATTTAGTCGACTATTAGTTGGTTAACACAAATAAAAGATTGAATGCTCGTCGTGTCACTATTGCTTGCCAAAACTCGTAATTTTTTTGCAGATTTTTGAAATCATATTTTAATCAGATCTGCAGTTTTTTCTTATTCTGGCATATTAGAGTCGTACGGCAAAGGTTTAATTTCTTATAAACTTGAAGAGAGGGGAGGTGGGAGTGTAGTTCATTTATATAGGTTTGTGATCTGTGAAAACCTGTTTACTTTTTTCATAGCCACAAATTAATTTTAAAATTTGAATAAATAATTAACACGTATTAGAATGTTAGAAATTTTACATGTATCTAATTATTATTATTTTTTTGTGCACTGGTACACTCATCAAAAACATCAAGAATCATCGGATAAGAAAAACCAAAATTACAATTTTTTTTAGTAATTTTAATTGGCCGGAAATTACTTAACTAACTTTTAAACTAATTGTTGTGAAAATTGACAATAAAACATAATTTTGGACCTTCTGAGCATTTTTTTTTTTTTTTATGGCAAGAAAACATGTTTTTGCGTTGGTTTTTAATCAAAAGTTTAACAAAATTTTAAGTTCCAACCAACAAATGCACCTCAATTTGAGATTTACATTTATCCGTTGATTTTTGATTCAGGCGCATGAGATCATGGCTATGAGCCATTATCCGATCAATCAACATGGTTGTTACAAAATCATTGGTGAACATTCAATATGTTCTAAATTGTTAAGAACATGTACCTATGCAACCTACATGTTTATTTTCACACCATACATCTTTCTTTTTTTATGTTATGTGGATATGTTTATTGTCATGTCATCCATGCTGCAATGTAAAGATACTGGCCGCAATTAATATATTGCGGCAATGGTTGCAACAGCCATCATTAAAATGTTGCAATGTCGCAAGTCACAAATCATGTCGCAAGTCGCAAACCATTCATTACATAAGTTTTTTTAATGTTACAGTAAAATAATAATAGTAATGTTATAAGTGGAAAATATAATGTGATTTCTTCTTTTAAAAAATTCACAACTTTCTTTTTAAATTCTACAAATGAGTATTTGCTTTAGTCAGTTATGTTATACCATCTTCAAATTGAACCTTGTAATACACTATGATTCTTATTTTTAGGGGAGAATATTTGTAATTATATATTATTTGTAAATTCACATAGCAGTACATCTACGTCAGCTTGTTTAACAATCAACTTAACCAAGAAGATGGCAGCAATTTTTTTTTAAAAAAAATGTTATAAGAATTTGGGAAGTATTTTAAAATTGAGCAAGATAATGGATATAGTTGATAATGAAATTTGTGAAGCTTATTGAAGGAATTTATGAAAGGATATGAAGGTACAAAGGCAATGGTGGAATAGGAATAAAAGAAAAAAATATAAATAGATTGGCTAATTATTTGATACTCCATAATTTTCTTATTACAGGAGATGTTTTATCAAAGATTTAAGTTTATGTGGATTAATTGGTGATAAATAAACAAAATTAATGGTATATTGTGCCCAAGTTCTTTGTAGAATAAGCAAAAATACAAAGAATAAGATGTATATAATATTGGGGTGTTAATATTTTCCAATATATGAGGTGAGAACATAAATAGTAGGATTAAAACCTTATTTATCAGAAGTAAGGCAATTATTACTTATATATTATTTTGTTAACTCTCTTTTACAAATTACTAGCAGGTCTAGAAAGAATTCATGAACAAAACCTAATTTACTGTATTTTGTTCAGAAACTATTTATTGTATTATGATTGTTAATCATGAAATATTTAATAGTAATAGCAAAATACTGTATAATTAAATAAAGTATTATATCATTAGTAGTTGCAATCCAAAAAGAAACAAAATGGTTGTAAAGGTGGTTGCAACCAGCAGTTGCAATCATTTTTATATGATGCAAAGATCATCAAAAGTTGCAGCCGGTATCCTTAATTATTAGTATATGTTATTTGCAATTTGCATTATTTGAAACTTTGTGACTTTGATTGTGACTTGCGACTTTATTTGTGACCTGTGACTTTGATTGCAACTTGCGACTTTATTTGCAACCACTGCATAATTGCACCCATGGTTGCAATCATGACAAATATTTGCGATCAGTATCTTTAAATAATCTTGAAGAAGATAATGATTCATTTCATTACTATGAACCGGTCTCTTCTCGGAACCAGTGGTTCCTCTTGGGACTTTCAAGCCTCCAATGTTTTGAAAAAAAAAATAATAATTCATGATCATTACAAGCTGGTGAACTTGATAAAACAACAATACCAGAATATTTCATTCTAGCGGGAGCTGGAGAAGGAAAATCTCACACCGCACAAGAATTGCCAAAAATGCTAATTGAATGTGCTACGAATAATACTAGCTTACAAACTTGCCTTAAAGATGTTCTTACATTTAATTTATCATTTGAAAATGGAACCAGACTATTTTGGGGAGAAGTAATCAAATGCTTTTTCAATTATTGTACAGAATTACCAAACATCACAATCAAGAGTTCAACAGTCTGATTGTAATTATTATTACGAATAATTTACAAATGGCAATGGAAAACCCCATGGAAGGAAATCATTATTCAGAATAGCTGAGCAAGCCTGCTTATTTGAAACCTATTATCCTTTGCCTTATTCTGTCGCATACACCGGTTGACAAAACTCAACATATCACTGGACTCGAAGGAATAGATGTAAATAATGTAACACAGCTTGGCCTTGTCAGATATGAGAGTTCAGACCCAGATCAACTGCATGGATATCTCACATATCCATGGATCATTGGGGTGTCTCACATCATATGATTTACAAACATAGTTGATCACATATATAAATTTTCATTAATAAGGATTTTTTAGGGGTTTTGCGGATTTATTATTATTTTTTTGGTGCCACAAAAAAATTTTTAAATTTATTATACAAATTGGCAAACTTCGCACAATTACAAAACTCAAAATAACTCTTAAACTATATGTCATATTCAAATAAAAATTTATGTTTTAGATTCACTTTTTGATGCTCTTTAAACTAATAGAGAGCTTTTTACAATTTTACTTGCATAAAATTTTGTAACATATATTCGCAACTTTTACTTTGATTTTCTAGCTTAAAATAAATGCCATTGTTTATATTAAAATAAAAAAAGGGCTCTATTACTTTATTGTCTTATTTCTCTAGTATGTTTTAAACTTAACTTGGAGTCAGTATCTCTATTCTTTAAAGAGTTATAATCATTCAAAGTTTACTATTGAAAAAAAGATCGGCAATATATGAAAATTTATATATGTGATCGACTATGTTTGTAAAATCATATAATGTAAGAGACATCCCAATGGATCATGGCGCATGCAAACTAACATGATACCACGTTACAAAATTGGGATTTTACTTGCTACAAAGAGAAATGCAGTATGTGAGCCCTAATATCGCCAATTCTGGCAACATTTTGAGTATTTTGTTGCCAATTTCGTTCTCTAAAACTGAATATCTATGATTCTGGACAGAAAGTCAAACTCAGTTGCATCCACAATAGTGCCACGCATACATTTGATCAAGCTTCCATATTCAATCAATCGCTTAAATTATCAAAATCGATTGAAAGAATCAGCACCAAGTCTGAAGATCAACCTGCAGACATTTCGTGCGAGAACGAACTAGTCAATATTAATATTGCAAAGGCGAGTCATATTATAATCAATGCATATGCTGTTCCGTTTTAGGATAGCTTTTGTCTGATATACATAGACGACTACAAATAGAAGTATATCAGTGCAAATTGTTGAGATCAGAGAGCATTATTCAGAAAATTTTTAATGATGAGCATAAAAGGGCAACAAGTACAAATGATGTTTTCATTTTCTATAAAACAGCATTTTCCAAGCAATTTGATGTCTGGTATTGTTCATGTAGGTAATTGGAAAGGATATTTTAAACCTTTTGCCAGAAGATTCCACCCAGATGACTGGAATGACAGGAATCGCAAAACTCGTGCTATCAATATCGTGAAAGAACGAGATAAATGCAAATTTTCTGATATACAAGAACAAAAATTCCGTGTATATATATTGAGCCTTTTTTTCAGGTAATAATTAGGATAGCATTTTCTACTTTATGAAATTAATCATAAAGATTATGATTATTGTTAAACATTATATTGCATGGCGAGCCTTCCTTTTATTTTCTCAAGTATAATCAATTTTCCTGTATGAATGTTTATTTAAATCAACTGGTATATAGTGGCAGCAGAATTTTATATTACATTTTCCACACTGCGCCATAGAGCGAACTATATAACAATGATATGTGTTTTTGTGGAAGTATACAATGTCACAGAATGATATTTATAGAAGTATTGAAGAATACGCGTTCACTGAAAAAAATAAAAGATTTTTAGAAAGTGCACCCAAACGATTCAAAGATTATATTGATGTTTGACCCCTCTTATAACATTAATCAGTCAATAACTATAAGCCTCGGAAATATTTTATTTATCTATCTGACTTTCGGGGAGAGAGTCCTCGCAATTGATACATCGAGGTGATATTGATTACTGAATGTTTTTATTATTGAAAGTCCAAAACTAAATATAATATGATTTAATCCTAACATTGAATTTTTTTATTGATTATGCAGAAGTTACATAAAAGAAACATTTGCTTTTATAGGGGTAAGGAAAAATACATATTAGTGATTAATATAATGCCCCAAAATATTTTATAGTAAAAACGATTCTTTTTAAAGATTCGTGGATTAAATTCCTGTCGTCATGAGTAAAATTTGGTCCTTCTTTGGCTATTGCTTATGGCTTTTGAAATAGATCCAGGGTGACAATAAAAAGTTTTACCTATTTTGTTTAACCTCTATTATAATTGTCTGAGAACCCTACTCTCGGTAATTTTGTTTATACATTTGAATTTTATTATGGAATCGACAATGCTGCCATATCCCTATTTCATTTCTAACGGCTACTAATACTAAATCCGAGTTTCCGAAGCTAAAGAAAAAAAAAAAAGATTTGGACGAAGTTACCGGAGAAAAAGTAAAATTTCCTAATACTAAAAAAATTTATAATTGGTTACACGATACAAATCTTTCAGATATTATTATTATTATTATTATTATTATTGCAATGAACCAACAATTTTTTAAATTACCTTCTAGTGAAATCGGCAGTAATCATGAGGGTTTTTTGACTTCAGCTTCAGTCAAAACCCACGGTTTTTATCCATATGAGGACAATGGAGGGTATGTGGAGGAGTTTTTTTTTTCAAAGTAATAATAATAATAATCAACTAAAATTATTTTTAATTTAATAAATAAAAAAGCACATCGTTAGCTATTGCAGGCGAAGACTATTGTATATTAGCTTCTGATACTCGTCAAAGTAGAGGATACTTGATTCATTCAAGATATTCTCCTAAAGCTTTTAAATTGTGAGTAGATCTGCTGCTTTATAGTTGCTTTATTGATGCATTAATTCATTGTTTATTTTTCTGGTTGTTTGGTTTATTAGATCAGATAAAGCAGCAATTGCTTTGAATGGATATGCAGCAGATGGTATTACACTGGTCAAAAAACTTAAACAAAAGATGGAGGTTTGTCCGATTCAATTAATTTTACATTCAAATTTAAATTCAAGTAAATTATTATTAGTAAGAATGTTTACACAATTATAAATTTCACATATTTTACATTTCAGTGGTATAAACACGCACACGATAAAGAGATGTCAACACCAGCTTTGGCTCAAATGATTTCAATCACATTATATATGAAACGTTTCTTTCCATATTATGTTTCCAATACATTGGCTGGACTTGATGAGAATGGTATTGAATGCTATTTTTATTTATTGCATATATAACTTTTTATTGCATGATATCAATAAACCAATGTTAATTGATAAATAGGAAAAGGTGTTATTTATCGTTTTGATCCAGTTGGTTCATTTGAGCCGGTGCTTTGTAATGCTAGTGGATCAGGAGAATCTTTGATTCAACCTTTTCTAGACAGTCAAGTAAGAAAATTTCATGCTAATGATACATTATTATTGTTGTTATTATTGTTGTTGTTGTTGTTGTTGTTATGCTAACCATATGTTATTATATAATTATTAATCATATTTACATATTTATATGTTTAATTCAGGTTGGATTTAAAAACCAACGAAATGTTGATAAAGTACCATTACCACTTGATAAAGCAATTACTATCGCAAAAGATGCATTTACATCAGCTACAGAAAGAGATATGTACACTGGCGATTATTTAGAAATATTTGTTATTACAAAAGATGGAGTTGAAATTCAATCATATGATTTGAAGAGAGATTAAAAGCAAACAAAGTAGGCAGGAAAAATTAAATTTATATATATATAAACTTAAAAATTAACAATTTAAATAATAATTGATTTTCTATTGCAATAATAATATATATAATTGTGACATTCACAATTTCAACTTTTTCACTTGTTGTATTTTACATCTCATCTCCACTTATAATAATTTGAATAGCCATCATCTGCGCCAAGTTTAAGCTCCTCAATAAATAATTTATCATTAATCAATATATTAATATTAATATGGGACATAAAGATTTCAGGGGTTAAATTAATGATTAATACCCTACTACTATATACTGCTTTAGCAGAAATTGCTCCCCTCAAATTGTTCATTTTTTTATGATAAAAGGAAAATTGACCAATAAACTATTTGAACCAAGAATTTCAACATTCAAAGAATCTAATTAACTTTGTAATACAATAAATCTTTCATCCTTAATAATCCTCAACTAAAAATACTTACTATTTATTAGTAAGTTCTCTTGTAGATTATCTATTAATTGGATTTTTCCTTGGCCTTTTACTTTATTATAATGTAAACCAAAAAAATTGATGAAATATTTGATGATGCAATAAAGTCTGGAAAACCTGAAAACAAAACATGGATCGATTGGTGGAAAGTACTTGGAGGATGTTGATAGATTTTAAACGCTATTTTGATAAGAAAAGTTTGAGCAAGACTCTAAATTTTTCATTTAATAAAAATGGCAACTGAAATCCCGGGTTATCTGGGGAAGGAAAAGGAATTGCTGCCCCACCATAAAAAACCCTCTACCAACGAAAAAACAATAAAAGTGGAATGAGTTAATAAGGAAAAAAAATGGCTTTGGGTTTGAGAACATCAGATTTATTATGCCCAATCCGCACCAAAACCATAAAAATATTTGAAATATCAAGTCCATTTTATTCCTCACTTGGACCTGAACTTATAACTTTTAACAAACTTCAATTAATTGTTTTAAAATCTCAATGATCAAACAACTACTGATGTAGGACCAGTGGTGTGTGCATTAGATCACTAATAATTGTATAGTTTATGTATTTTAGGAAGGTACAGAAGTGCTAAGGCTTGTTATATTGACATTGCTCCACCCTCTATATTATTAATATACATCCTTTTTAATTTTAAACGATTAAATAATACAAAAGTCTTCAGGAAAAGGTATTGGTAGAGAGGAATAAAACGACATCAAAAACAATATTAAAGTGATTACGAATCCAGCCATCTGAATACTAGCATGATGTGGTGGGGTCAAACAAATTTTCGGCCTTATTTACGAATGAACAAAGGGAATCTTAAATAAATAAATATTAATTGGCAACTAGTTATTTTAGTTGACTATTTTAGTCGATTATTTTAGTCGATTAAAATTTTTTTTTATAATCATATAACAATAATAATAATATTTCGTTTTTTTTTTTTAATTTACAAATTACGAATTCATTTCCATTGAATCTTTCACTTTTTCAAAATGTTTCCGCACAAAAACCATGTGTTACGATTCGTTTTTTTAAAGGTCTTCTGGAACCACCGCTTAAATCATTGGAACTTGAAGCCAATGAACTATTGGACCTTGTATTGGAAGTGTTTATTCATTCGCATGTAAAATTATCATCAACAACACCACTACTATTGTCGTCATCATCATATTGATGGTATTGATACTCTTCCGCATAGAAGTTTTCCATTTTGAATGATAAAACACAAAAATCGTAATTGGTCAGACAATAATAATATTAGCATAGTATTGGTATTGGTATTAGTAGTATTAATAGTCGACTAAATAATCGATTAAAATAGTCAACTATTAGTTGTTCAAAAAAAAGTTTAATCGACTATTTTAGCCGATTCCAACCTCTATTTTTTCATATAAAACATACGGAATAGGTGTGGGATGTGACATACTGAAAGTGTACGTTTTTGTTTCTGCGTAAAACATACTATTGAAAAGGTACGTTTTTATTCCGTATTTAAAGTATAAATAAGAAATTTTTATTAATAGTCACAGGACATGTCACATCAATTGATTAATTAACACAAAAAAAAAAGATTTAACATTTGCCGTGTCACGATCTCCTTCCAAAACTCGCAAGTCGTGCAATTTTCTCGCCGATTGTCTCCTTTTGCGTCTAGCTGCGCCTGGTCTTTTCGGTTTTTGTCGTACGGCAAATGTTTTGTTTTATAAAACGGGTTGCAATTGCAATTGCATTGAAATTAAAATTGAGTTGCGTTGAATTGAATTGCAAAGCAATGCGTTGAAATTGCAATTGAAACCGAAAAATCTTTGTTTTTTAAACCTAATTTTTTGTGAAGGAATTTTTTGCTTCTCTGGGTGGTAATAGAGTTCCGAACGGGTCGGGTCATGGATTTGATTTGATCCGCGGGTCATACGGGTCACACGGGTCACACGGGTTGACATGGGCCCAATATGCCGAATGACATGACCCTTGTTTTATGCCATATCATGTGCCATATGCAATACGTAATCCTTGTCTTATTATTAATTATTTTATTAATATTAATATTGATATGGCCAAAAAACACTAGCTGATAAATACAATGAATGTTATTATAATGCTGCTGCTGCTACTGTTACTGCCACTAATGTTGCTGCCACTACAAATAATAATGAAAATATTTTTTTTTACATCTTCACTTGGTATCAATTATAATAATAATCAAAAAGAAGATGAATTAGAGGAGTATCTTAGAAAACCTCCAGTAAATCCTCAAACAGATCCACTAGAATGGTGGAAGGCAACAAATTAATTAATATCTGATATATTTATTTTTCAACATTAATTATTATTTTCATTAAATATGATAGGTTCATGAAGCCACCTTTCCAAATCTTTCCAAGATGGCACATGACTATCTTGCAATTCCAGGTAAGATATCTTTTTTTAATATCTTTTATTTAATTTGTAAAAATAAATAAGTATATGTATATTATTTAATGTAAGGTAGAAGTGTATCTGTTGAAAGAATCTTTTCAGGTGGTGGTGACCTAATCACAAAAAAGAGTTGTCATTTGGAGAAAGAAATAATTCAAGCATGCATGTGCCTGAAAAATTGGATTAGAGATAATAATATTACTAAGTAAATCAAATTTTTAATTTTTTTTCTTTTTTAAAGATCCACTTATTTTACACATTGTATTTTTTTTTTAAATTCAAATGAGCAAAATAAATTACATATTAATATATTAATTGATACTTGAGAAATTTTTTATATCTGACCCGGGTTGACCCGTTCGGGTCGGGTCAATACTGTAAAGTCTGGAAAGATAGCACCCCTCGAAAGATAGCACCCCCTACTTTAAAACAATTGAGCGTCAATATAAAAAAAATGTTACACATATGTAAAAAGGGGATGCTATCTTTCCAAGTGTTTCATAGCATCACAATAACAAAAATACACGATTCAATTGATTCAATCATTTATTACATATAACAGGAGAGACCGTTCTGATAACACAAAATTTTAATCCACGCAATTGTTGATCGACCAATCAAAATCGTAAATTTGATAACGTAAAAATAAACGTTAACATAAAACATTGATCCATTTTGTCAACAATCAATTCACCAACAGTTGTTTCGTTAACAAATGGTTCGAATTTAAGAAGTTGGAAGCAGCCATTTGAAATAGTCTAATAAATTAAACCGTACTACTCGAAAATGTATTTAAAGGGATGGTTTTCGACTTGGTTGAAGAATAACTCTCTTCCTAACTCTCTTCTCTTGACCTTATCTCTCGATATAATCAAAATAACCTTAATACAGCGAATGTCAAAATGATTGTAAACGCGACCAATTTAAGATACACGATCAAGAGAAAACATGAATGATGTATGAAAAAATCAAACAAATTTATTTAATAAAACAAAATTTACAACTCAAAAAAAATTTTTTTTGCATATAATAAAATTCCATTATTAACTATTAACAATCTAATTATATAGATCTTGTCCGATAAAACCCGCCTATATAGTTATTGAATAATTGATAATAATAAAACGTTAATTAAACATATTTTACAAACAGCTTCGTAGATCTCGACTTTAAGACTTACTTTGACCAAACTCGCCTATAATAATAAACATTCCTTTTGGAAACTTGATTTGCAAATAGAACTTGACTTTAACACTTACTTCTACCAAGCCCGCCTATATAATTATTTGAATAATTGATAAAGCGCTCATTAAATATATTTTACAAACAGATTCATTCATAGATCTTGACTTTTAACAATTATTTCGATACAAGCTATTTAATAATTGATAAACGTTCATCGATATATTTTACAAACTTGATTTGGAAGTTTCGTATGTCGTCATACGTCTTGTATTTAACAGTTTACTTTTTCTGTTTAATTTTATTTGTTTTAGATTACACAAATAAAAATCATGGAATAAATTTAATCCAATGAAATGGTTGTTATCCCATAAAAGAATAAATTTCAATTGTTAAAAAAATCAACCAAGCTTTTTTTTTCTTAATTAAAAGAAAAAAAGATCCTTCGCAAAGAAGAACCCGTGTGAATCAAAAGCCATTTGCGAATTTCGATTATTAAAATTTTTTGTCCTGATCTTTTCTCGTGTTTTTTTTTCGTCTATCGCTATAGAAGAATAAGCTTCATGCAAACATCAAAAGCCATCTACCAATTTCGATTGTTTTAAGAAAAATTAACCAAGCTTTTTTTTTCTTAATCAATCGACGTATTTTATTTGTTTTTCCCGAAAGGAAATTTTTTCATTAATCAACGATTTTGTTGTTTTCTCCAAAAGGAAATCAGATCATCCACTATCCTTCAAATGGTCAAAATCAAAGTTTTTTCTTATCCAGATC